ATAAGATGGAAAGATCAAGTGGAAGACAACATTGTCGAATATAATCTTTCAAACTGGAAAAACTGCGCAAAAGACCGACGCTCCTGGTTCGGGTTCTGGAACGAAAGTTCTGTCACAAGCCAGCTAAGTATGTAGGTATAAAGGGACATCCGGTACACAACTTATCCTGGTCTATTTGCTCGCCTATATAATATCTCTTGGACTCTGGTGTAAAAAGGCACAAAAGAGCGCTTATCTGCACGATCTTTGTCCAAAAGGCATATAAAAGCGAACCAGCTGATGGTTCACACCGAAGGGGAAGCCCACAAATAAGATGGAAAGATCAAGTGGAAGACAACATTGTCGAATATAATCTTTCAAACTGGAAAAACTGCGCAAAAGGCCGACGCTCCTGGTTCGGGTTCTGGAACGAAAGTTCTGTCATAAGCCAGCTAAGTATGTAGGTATAAAGGGACATCCGGTACACAACTTATCCTGGTCTATTTGCTCGCCTATATAATATCTCTTGGACTCTGGTGTAAAAAGGCACAAAAGAGCGCTTATCTGCACGATCTTTCTCCAAAAGGCATATAAAAGCGAACCAGCTGATGGTTCACACCGAAGGGGAAGCCCACAAATAAGATGGAAAGATCAAGTGGAAGACAACATTGTCGAATATAATCTTTCAAACTGGAAAAACTGCGCAAAAGGCCGACGCTCCTGGTTCGGGTTCTGGAACGAAAGTTCTGTCACAAGCCAGCTAAGTATGTAGGTATAAAGGGACATCCGGTACACAACTTATCCTGGTCTATTTGCTCGCCTATATAATATCTCTTGGACTCTGGTGTAAAAAGGCACAAAAGAGCGCTTATCTGCACGATCTTTGTTCTGGTAATTTTTGTATCTTCTGTATAGACATTTTTTCCGACTGCGTATTAATATTTATTGAGAACAAAAATTGATAACTGCAAATCGAGCCCAAATATATATGGCTGGAACGGCGCATGTTTATTTTCGATATGCCCTCTGAAATTACCAATATGAAATTTGATTATTTGGCATCTGAAAATATAATATGTTGGGCGCCATTTTTTTTTTTTTTATTATTTTTGAACATTTTTTACATACACAAGTATGCTCTTCTATTTGGAGTTATTTTTTATGAAGAAATATATGTGGGATTAGAAGTGAACGAGTTTGAAATTTGCGTAAAAAGTATATTTTTGTAGGAAGGCGCAACTGCTTTCAGTGGCATATCCAACCCCTGAAATTAAAAAAAAAAATGAATCTGTTTATGATTTTAGCAATTGAAATGATGTTGGGTGCCAATTTAAATTAATTTTCCATTTTTTTTCATTCATATACATAAAAAATTTTAAATATGTTATAAATTTTCTGATCATTTTTGTACTTATTCTTGAAGGAACGAATTTTGCGTTGATCCTTTGTGTAATGTTTATTTCTATTTATTGAGAACAAACATTAATTATTTAATCTTCATTTTTTCTAATCGATCGAGTTTCTCCTTCTCTTCCTATAGCATATCCGCCAGTTCGGCCACCATCTATGCCTATATGGGCGAATTCCACTGTGAAAAACATCGTAATCGCGCCGTACTCTATGGATCATTCATTTCAGCCTTTGGTGCGGTTTTCTTTCCGCTAATAGCATGGTTCTTTATCAATCAAGAATGGGAATTTGTGGTGCCATTGATTGGTATAACCTATAAACCATGGCGTTTATTCTTTGTTATGAACGGTCTGTCAGGATTGGTGTGTGGTATTATATTCCACTATTTGCCGGAAAGTCCAAAATATCTATTAACTGCCAATAGGCATGATGAGGCGCTGGAGGTATTGCGTTATATGCATAAGAAAAATACTGAGGCCAATAAGAAATTGCAAAATGAAAGTTTTGAGGTAAAGGAAAAAAACCGAGAGAAAATTATTTATAAAAATTAAAAAATATATTTTTTTCCAGATCACCACTTTACTACCCGATTTGGCAGATATACCCAAAGTAGTGACGGAAACCAAAACGGAACCCCAAAAGAAATCATTCACCTCAATTTTTTTTGGTAATCTGGAATCAAACAGCACCATTGTTTATGCGCCAGCATATACGCAAAACCATTTTATCCTCCGCCATTCTATTTACCACATTCTTTACGGCCCATGGTGTCTATATGTGGTTTCCGTTTATTCTCAATAATGTCAGTTTATATGTGGCCAATTATGATGAGCCCAAAAGGCTATGTGAGATTATACGATTTTCTCAAAGCTCGAATTTTACCATAAATGAACAATCAGAGGTAAGGTTCCCTACCAACCCCCCAAAATGTATATTTCTCAAACATATCTTCTCTTTTTTAGTTTCCGGTGGCTGAGAAGATCTGTGTCACCAAACTGGAAATTGATACGTATAAGCATACCATGTCCTTGGAAATTATTTATGTCACTCTTCTGCTTTTGGTTATTTATGCCAATCGTAGATTTGGACGCATTCCCATTTTGTGTAAGTATTAAATATCTAGAAGATCTTTGCAATGGGTTTAATAATTGTTTCCCTTTTTCTAGGTATTGTCCTCACACTTTGTGGAGTCTGCGGTGTTCTCAGCTTATTAATTGATATTCCCATGGTATCGATATATCTATTTCTCATCATGCTCTGTTCCGGTCTGGGCACAAATGTCATGAATGCCATTGTTGTGGATATTTATCCCACAAGTTTAAGGTAAGTTAAAACATTCCCTTATAAATCAAAAGATATATAAAAGTAAAACCGAAAACAATTTCGATCAAATGAAGATTCTTGCAGCTTCTAAACATAAATAATTTTATTGAGAACAAAAATTAATTGGAGTTTTCAATGAGTTTTCCATCATAAAATATTTTACAGAGAGAGTTTCGAATGCTTGTTTCTATTTTCCAAACAAAATATTTATCCCGATGGCTTCTCCCTGAAAAATTGCTACTTTTCGAAAATTCCCATCAGACTGCTTTCAGCTCGTCTATAAAGTCTTCCTTCAGTTCTTCTTTTTTTCTTGTGAAGAAAAATTAATTGTGGTTTTTGAAGGCTCTTGCTCTTGAAGATATTGCTCGCTTCCATTTTGTTCAGAAGAATAATTTATTGAGAACAAAAATTAATTATTTTTCATTGTTGTTTTTTATTTTCTTTTCCAGAGCCATGGCTGTTTGCATTTCACTAATGGTGGGTCGCATTGGCAGTGTCACCGGCAGTAATGTTTTAGGTGCTCTCATCGAAACGCATTGTGAAGAGGCCCTTTACACTTCATCATTTGCATTGGTGGCAGCGGCCATTTTGGCTCTACTAATGCCTAAGGCACCATTGGAGAAGAAGAAAAAACCAAGCATCGAAGAAGCTAATTAGTTTTTAAGAGTTTTACTACTGTGTTAATTATTTTTTATATAAATTATTTATTATTATTTTTTTAATATAAGAGAGTTGATTTTAAACTCATAACAAGCAATAACAACATTTGAATCTTATGGCGTAAATTTCTACTCCGGAAAAACACGATTCGAAAAAGATTCCAGGGTAGGAAAGAATTCTTAATCGGTAAAAACGAATCACATCACGAATCACACACATATCACAATTATCGGAATAGTGATCTCCAGAATGTTTGAGTTTAGTAGTAGTTGTGTAGGGTACGATATAGCCGGCCCGTTCGACAACACTACCCCGCTGTCTGGTTTTAAAATAGAATAATGCATCAGGTGCCTATAATCAGATTTTCTTTACAATGAAGGCGTTGATACTGAACTTAGGCCACTGGACTTAGAACAGCTGAACCTTGAATAGTAGATAAATATATTTTGCAAATCTGTTGTAGCCTCTCTAGGTATATTGCTTTAGAACCGCATAAGGAGGTTTGTAAGCTCCTTACAAAATAAGTAGAATATATCATATTTCTTCTAAACTTTTACTTGCTCAACTCGCTGCTTACATTAAATATTAAGCTAATCAATTTTTGTTCTCAATAAATTACTTAAAAAACTTACTATTTTTTCTATACAGATAACCTGCACATAATCCCGGCTGTTAAAAATATTCGACATATAGACGAAGGTGTATTTCAGATCATTTAGAGAAGATCGCCCAATACAATTTATCCATAAAGATCGCTGATATCGGTCCGTGTTCTTGCATCTCTTTTATTGGTGTTATTTCTCCAATTTCAAAACGTCTTTAAACTTTTGTGTAAAATTCAATCTCCGTTACGGCCTAAAATTACAGGTAGTCTATAAAGTCTTTCATGCTTTCAGCTCGTTTATAAAGACTTCCTGGCTTGCAGTTCTTCTATAAAGTCGTCTTATGGCTCTTCTATAAAGACTCCCTTCAGACCTGCTTCAGCTCGTCTATAAAGACCCGCTTCAGCTCATCTATAAAGACCTGATTCAACTCTACTATAAAGACCCGCTTCAGCTCGTCTATAAAGATCCGCTTCAGCTCGTCTATAAGGACTCCTTTAAGCTCGTCTATATAAAGACTCCCTGCAGCTCGTATATAAAGACTCCCTTCAGCTCGTCCATAAATACATCCCTCAGCTGTCCAATTAAGAAGACCAACAGCTCGTCATGTATATTCATATTTATTGAGAACAAAAATTAATTGTTTGAAGCCTTTTGCTACCTTTGAAGCCTTGTTGACCTTTCTTGGGTCAACTGAAATGAAAAAAGATGTATTTTTGCAATATTATTCTCCAGATAAGATTACTGCAATACTCCTCACCTTAAGTTGACCACAATTGTCTTTGAAGTTTTACCCGATTGAGTACCCATCCATTCGATTTTTCTCTGAACCCTCAATAAGGCCCAGAACAGAAAGATTCATCTTCGACTCTATTTTTAATTTATTGAGAACAAAAATTGATTGTTCGAAGTATTTTCAGCTCACATAGGTCCAAATATTTCGTTTTCGATCAACTGTAAAGAAAATGTGTTTTTTATTCTTGTCAATATTAAATTTTTATATAAAAACTCCTCCAATAGCCCTCCCTTAAAGTTGACCACAATCACTTATGACAATTGTCTTGGAGGTTTTACCCGATTGACTACCCATCGATTCGATTTTCTTGACAATCTCCAAGCCCTCAACGACACGCCCGAATACTACATGACGATTATCCAGCCATGTAGTTTTTACAGTTGTCACAAAAAATTGTGAACCATTTGTATTGGGTCCAGAATTTGCCATCGATAATGTACCGGCCTCCGTATGTTTCAATACGAAATTTTCATCATCAAATTTGGCGCCATAAATCGATTTGCCACCGGTACCATTGTGCGCTGTAAAATCCCCACCTTGACACATAAAATTCGGTATAACACGATGAAAGGTGGAACCTTTATAGCCGTAGCCTTTTTCGCCTGTACACAGGGCGCGGAAATTTTCCGAGGTTTTGGGTACGATGTCAACACGTAGCTGGAAGGGAAATAAGAAACAAAGAAAACCAGTGGAGGCGGGAACGATTAAATTTTGTTAATAACTATTTATTTGGAAAAATAATAACAATCTTTTATAACATTTTACATATTTTAAATTTTTGGATCTACTTAATTTCCCCACAATCGGCAATAATAATCTCCTTCATGGGACGACCTTCGGGACAGCCATAGGATTCAATTTTCTTAACAACATCCATACCTTGTATAACCTGACCGAAAACCACATGCTGGCCATCCAGCCAGGGTGTCTTAACGGTGCAAATAAAGAACTGTGAACCATTTGTGTTGGGCCCAGCATTGGCCATGGATAAAATACCAGGACCGGTGTGTTTTAGCTTAAAGTTTTCATCCTTAAATGTTGTACCATAAATCGATTTGCCACCGGTACCATCATTTTTGGTGAAATCACCACCTTGACACATAAAGTTGGGTATCACCCGATGAAAAGAACAGCCCTTGAAGCCAAACCCCTTCTTGCCCGTACACAATTGTCGGAAATTCTCCGCTGTTTTGGGTACAACATCTTTGCGAAGCTGTAAATAATTGTTTCAATATTAAGAATGTCAAAAAATTGAAAGTGGAACATAACATTGCTAAGGCTTGCAAGCGTTTTGCTATTTTCAAAGCCAGAATCGTGATTGATGTAATGAAAATTTGTTTGTGTGGGAGGGTGAAAGAAAAGCCATGTCAGTTTTTCCACAAATTCTTTATTGAAATATATAATTGATGAAATGATTTTCAATAACGGTAATGAATTAATAAAAAATATCAACCACTTTTCTCTTCCTCTCCTCCTCCTCCTCATTTCATTTCACCACAATCCTGAATGACCACCTTCTTGCTGGGCTTTCCCGAATCACTACCAAAACTTTCGATTTTCTTCACAACATCCATGCCCTCGACCACATTACCAAACACAACATGTTTACCATTTAGCCATTCCGTTTTGGCAGTGCAAATAAAAAACTGAGAACCATTAGTATTGGGTCCAGCATTGGCCATCGATAGAATACCCGGTCCTGTGTGCTTCAATTGGAAATTCTCATCGGGAAAACATTCACCATAAATCGATTTGCCTCCGGTGCCGTTGTGTCGTGTAAAATCACCACCTTGGCACATGAAGCGAGGTATGATGCGATGAAATGCCGATCCCTTGAAGCCAAATCCTTTTTCGCCAGTACAAAGGGCGCGAAAGTTTTCACATGTCTTCGGTACAATATCGGAACGTAGCTGTAAGGGAAGTAGATTTTTTGCGGGGAAGCCATATTAAAAATTTATAATTTATCATACAAAAAAAGGACATGGAACAAAGAACACCAGGGGGTACGGCTTTTTTGTTAATTCAGCGGGAAGAGTTAGAGATTAAAATTGGAAAAAAGAAAATTGAAACGACTGAAAATGACTGCCGACAATAATGACTGACCTCCGCATAAATACGCAGCGAACTTTAAAACTAAGTCAATCACTTTTTGTTCTCAATAAATTCTTAAAAAAAAACGAACGTGTTTTCTATTAAACCCCAGAGCTGCATACGGCCCTTAACGGAGCCAATCAATTTTTGTTCTCAATAAATTCTGAAAAAAAAACTGAGAGGAGTCTGAATAGACGACCTGTGGGGAGTCTTTATAGACAAGTTGAGTGAATTCTTTAGAGCTGAAGGGACTCTTTATGGAAGAGCTGGAGGGAGGGAATCTTTATAGACGAGGACAAAAATGTATTAGCTCCTTTCATCTCATCTCTAGAAAGACTCCCTTCAAATCGTCTTGAAGTTCTTCATTGGTATTCCAATAATAATATCTTGAGCTCGTATATAAAAACGTCCTTCCGTTCACCTCATATACTAGCTCTTTTCAGGTCGTAAACACTAAGCTAATCAATTTTTGTTCTCAATAAATTCTTAAAAGAATTGCGGGTTTTCTATTAAACCCCAATGCTGCATTACTGCCCTTAAGCTCGTCTTGAAAGACCCCGTTCAGCTCATCTCTAGAAAGACTCCATTCAAATCGTTTTGAAGTTCTTCATTGGTATTCCAAAAATACTATCATGAGGTCTTCTATAAAAACGTCCTTCAGTTCACCTCATATATAAATACTGAATTTTTCTCGTTTATACCAGCTCTATTCAGCTCGTCTTGGTATTTTTCATTGAAATACAGATCCTCTAGAAAGTCTCCCTTCAGCTTTGTTCTATAAAGACACCATTCAAGTCGTTGATACATAGTCTATGACAAAAAATCAGCACCCAAAAAAATGATTCGCAATTTTTTGTGACAACTGTAAAAACTAAGTGGCAGGATAATCGTCATGTCGTCGAGGATTTGAAGATTGTCAAGAAAATCGAATCGATGTGTAATCAATTGGGTAAAAATTCAAAGATAGTTATCGTGATGCTGGTCAACTTTAAAGGAGCAGTATTGAAGGAATTTTGTATGGAAAATAATATTGAAATAATAAAACTTTTTTTTGTTTTCAGTTCAGGCCGAAGAAGAAGGACTTTGGAGTCAAAAGGATTCAAAAAATCAATTTTTGTTCTCAATAATTATGAATATACAAGAAGTCTTGAGAGAGAGCTGTAGAGTGTCTTTATAGACGAGCCATATGGCGTAATTCTGGGCAAGATGAAGGGGGTATTTAAAGACGGACTGTTGGGCGTCTTCATAGACGAGATAAATCGCTTCTTTATAGATGAGGGGCTTCTTTATAGACGAGATGAAGGTCAGAGATTCTTATAAAAGAGCTGAAAGCCTGGGAGAATTTTTACACTACATGTTTTAGGTCAGATAGCATTTTTAGACCTATTGAATGTAGTAATAAGCTCGTGTCGGCTCGTTTATAATGACCCTCTCAGCTCATTTATAAAGAATCCCTTCAGCTCGTCTATAAATAATCCCTACAGCTTGTCTATAAAGAATCCTACCAACTGGTCTATAACTACTGAATGATCAAAATTGACTCTATCATAAGGATAACACTCATTATACGGTTATTTTTTTCGCATGGAAAAATATTCGCTAATGATTTTTCTTTCGCACAGAAAAAAATTCTGTAATTAATTTTTTTTGCATAGAAAAAAATTTGGTAATGATTTTTTTTCATATTGAAAACCAATTTTAAAGAGTTTAATTTCTGGCCACCTAAAAATATGCTTTAAAATGGGTACAATATTTTTCCTTATTGTGACCTAGAAATTTAATATAAAAGGTGCACAAAACTCACATAATTTTGTCCGATCAATACGAAATTCGAAATATCATACCGTATTGGGTCTTTAATGGTGTGTGTAAATTTAATAAAATTGTTTTCTTTTCAGTAGACCGAAAAAGATATAGATGGACCTCAGAAAGGTGAAAAGGCTTCAAACAATCAATTTTTGTTCTCAATAAATATGTTAATACCTGATTTTTTAGAATTGAAGGCAAGAATAATTTTATAGCAATAGATGATGCTTAGAACGTATTTATAGTCGAGCTGTGAATCATTTTCATATATCATATCGTATCGGGTCGTTAATGTGTGAGATAAGTTTCGTTAAATTTGGTTGAAATTTATATATAGCTCCCTCTATATTTCTTTCGATTAGCACGAAATTTTGCATAGCGTATTAGATTGAGTGTAGATTGTTGCGTGCTAAGTTTCATTGAAATCGTTTCTGATTTAGGTATAGCTTCCATATAAATGTTCGTCCGATTTTATGAAAATAGTGCCCCAAAGCCAATATATTTCTTTCGATTAGCACGAAATTTTGCATAGCATATTATATTGAGTCTGGAAGGATGTGTGCTAACTTTCATTGACAACGGTTGAGATTTAGCTATAGCTCCCATATAAATGTTCGTTCGTTATCGGTAAATGATGTACCAAAGCCCCTATATTTCTTTCGATCTCCTCGAAATCAAGAAAATCGAATCGATGTGTAATCGTATTAGATTGAGTGTAGAATGATGTGTGTGTTTCATTGAAATCGTTTGAGATTTAGATATAGCTGCCATATAAATCTTCGTCCGATTTTCTGATAAATAGTGCCCCAAAGCCCCTAGGTTTCTTTCGATTATCACTAAATTTTGCATAGCGTACTAGATTGAGTCTGGAATGTTGTGTGCTAAGTTTCATTGAAATCGTTTCAGATTTAAATCGATTATATTTCCGATTTTTCCGATATAGCTGCCATATAAATCTTCGTCCGATTTTAAAAAAATGGTGCCCCAAAGCCCCTATATTTCTTTCTTTAGATTTACATGAAATTTTGCATAGCGTATTATATTGAGTCTGGAATGTTGTGTTCTAAGTTTCATTGAAATCGTTTCAGATTTAGATATAGCTGCCACACAACTCTTCGTCCGATTTTATGAAAATTCTGCCTCAAAGCCCCTATATTTCATTCGATTTACATGAAATTGTCCATACGGTATGAGATTATGTCTAGACCAATGTGTGCTAAGTTTTGTTAAAATCAGTTCAGATTTAACTATAGCTCCCATATATATTTCCGTCCCATTTTCTATAAATGCTGCACCAAAGCCCCTACATTTCTTTCTATCTACACGAAATTCTGCATAGCGTATTAGATTGAGTGTAGAATGTTGTGTGCTAAGTTTCATTGAAATCGTTTCAGATTTAGATATAGCTCCCATATATATCTGCTCCCGATTTTCAGTAAATGGTGCCCCAAAGTCCCTATATTTTCTAAAGGCTTGGGGAGCACATTCAACAAAATAAAAGGCATTAATCGACATTTAAACAATCATCTATCTTTGATCCGCACATCAAAAAAACAAAACAAAGAGGGTTTCTTTTGGACAGGAAAAAAAGTAGAATGTTTTTGTTTTTTATTTTTGTAAAATAATAATAAAAAAGAATTTCTTTTTTGTTTTAGGGAATTTGTTGTTGTTGTATTATTATTAAAGAGAACATATTTTTGTTGTAATATATAATTATTATACTTTAAGCATATTCATTTTTTGTTGTTGTAATTGATAATTTTGTTAGAAGGGGGGAAAGGAATGAGAAATGCGTTGTGGTGTGTGGGCGGTTGAGTGGGTGGGTGGGTGATTGAGGCAAGCATCTTTAAAATGAGATATACAATATCCATGGATTTCAAATCCCGTGCTCATGGCTCCTCCTCCTCCTTGCTTCCTGATTCTCCAATTTATAAATGGATAAAAGGGCGGGCAGTTGGACACACCCTCCCACCCATACCACACCACCCTTAACACTTCTTGCAAAGTATTTTTGTGGGGTTTTCTTAGAGAATTTTAAATGCTTTCTTCTTCAAATCTTCCAATCTGCCGTTTCGTTTCTTCTTGGTTTTCTTAAAATTACAATTATTAAAATATATAGTTGTTGTTGTGTGTTGCTGTTGTTGTTGTTGTAATTGTCTGCATTACCAGGGGGGGTGGGAATGCAGCAATATACACCACGTGTATGTTGGGGGCAGGGTTCTTTGTTTACAATGCACCACAATCGGCCACAACAATCTTCTTGCTGGTCTTGCCCGATTGCGAGCCATACGATTCGATTTGCTTGACCACATCCATGCCATCGACAACCTGGCCGAACACAACATGTTTGTTATCCAACCAAGCGGTCTTCACGGTACAAATGAAGAATTGGGAGCCATTGGTGTTGGGGCCAGCATTGGCCATGGACAAGATGCCGGGACCGGTGTGCTTTAGGGTGAAGTTCTCATCGGCGAACTTGTTGCCATAGATGGATTTACCGCCAGTGCCGTTGTGGTTTGTGAAATCACCGCCCTGGCACATGAAATTGGGAATGACACGATGGAAACAGGAGCCCTTGTAGCCGAAACCCTTTTCGCCGGTGCAGAGAGCACGGAAATTCTCAGCGGTCTTGGGAACAACATCGCTGCGGAGCTGTACGGGGGAAAAGAAACAAAAACGAAAACAAAAAAACATGAAGAGACATGATTAGAGATGCTGTTAATGTGGTATGATGGGCTGGGAGGGGAGGGGGTATGTTGGTATGTATGTGTGCAGGGTTAGAATATGGCTAAAATATTTTTGGGTTCTCTAGGAGGTTAGTAGCAATACACACACATTTACACAAACACAGATATATTCTAAAAATAAAAGCTAAAGGAATTTTCAAAGTATTTGCTCAAGAAGTTCAGAACCACAAAAAATTTCCATAAATTTTTAAAAATTCAAATCTTTTTTATTATTAAAAAAAAAAAATAAAAATTCAAGCCATCTATAATTCATTTAAATTCTGATATGTACAAAACAAATTGCATATTCAATCCTTTTACTCCTCTCATCCCGTCCTCCTCCATCTTCACACAACATCACACTGTCCACAATCGGCAATGACAACTTTCTTGCTGGGCGTCCCATTTCGCCGACCCAATTCATCCATTTTTCGCACAACCTCCAAACCTTCAATGACACGGCCAAAGACAACATGCCGCCCATCGAGCCACGGTGTCTTGGCGGTACAAATGAAAAATTGCGAACCATTTGTGTTGGGTCCCGAGTTGGCCATCGACAATATGCCGGGACCCTCATGCTGCAGGGTGAAATTTTCATCTTCAAATTTACCGCCATAAATCGATTTGCCACCGGTACCATTGTGCGCGGTAAAATCACCACCCTGGCACATAAAATCCGGTATTATACGATGAAATGTACAGCCCTTATAGCCGAAACCCTTTTCGCCCGTACATAGGGCACGGAAATTTTCAACAGTTTTGGGTACAATATCACATCGTAACTGTGGGTGGGTGGTAAGGCAGCGGCAGACCACAAATTGGATGGGTGGATGGGTGTTTGATTGGTTGTTTGGGTTCATTGTTGTTGTAAGGAATAAGGATGGAAGAGGAGAGGTAAAATGGATACAATGTAATAAAAATAAGTTTTTTTGATTGTGTGTGTGTGGTCAAACTAAATAAAAATCAATAAAATCTATCAATTCTATTACAAATACAAATGCTAATGATGGCATGTGTGGCCTTGAGAGATAATAAGAAAAAAAATACAAAAACTGTAGGCATTTCGAAAAAAAAAACTATTTTTAGAAAAAATATTTTCAAATAAAAATTCTTTTCGATTTTTTTCTAAACGAAAGAAATATTTTCAATTTTTTTTACAAAAAAAATGTTTTGATTTCAATAAAAAATATTTCAAATATGAAGAAATTTTTTAAATTTTTTCCTTCACAAAAAAGAAATAGTTTTGATTTTTTTATCTATTTTTAAAAAAATTTTAATTCTCAATAAGAAAAAAATTATATTCGAATTTTTTTCTATACGAGATAAAAATTATTTTCGATTTTTTTCTTACAAAAAAATGCTTTGATTATTTATATATTTATATTTCGTTTTTATACAAAAAAAAATTGTTTTCTATACGAAAAAATTGTTTTCAATTTTTTTTCTATACGAATCGAATTTTTTCTCTACGAAAAAAATGGTTTTGATGTTTTTCTATACGAAAAATAAATTATACCGATTTTTTTCTATATGAAAATACATTGTTTTACATTTTTTTCTGCACAAACAAATATTTTCGAAAAACATTTTTTTTTTTTTTAAAAAAAAATAATTTCGATTTTTTTCCGTAGGAAAAAATTATTTTCGATTTTTTTATATAAGAAAAAAATTTTTTTTCGAATAGAAACAAATTTGAACATATTTTTTTTCGTATAAAACTTCTTTTCAATATTTTTTCCAGGTAAAAGAAATTAGAATATTTTTCTATAGATTTTTTTCCGATTTTTTTTTTTATAAAAAATTATTATTAAAAAATTATTTTCAAAATGTTTTTCTTTACGAAACGAAAAATTGGTTTCTATACGAAAAATACAACAAATTTCGAATAATAAAAAAAATCGAATAATAAAAAGAAAATTCGAAAAATAAAAAAAAATCGAAAAATAAAAAAAATTTTCAAATAATAAATAAGTTTCGAAAAATAAAACAAAATCGAAAAATAAAAAAAAATCGAAATTTTTCCATAATTTTATCAAATACCAATACGAAAAAAATATTTTTGTATTTTTATATGAAAAAAAAATTCTGTTCGATTTCTTTTCGGATAAAAAAAATTTTAATATTTTTCTATACGATATTTTTTAGAATTTGTTTATGTGAAAAAAAATGTTTTCGAATTTTTAATGCAAATAAAATAATGTTTTCGAATTTTCTAAACGTTTTTGTTTTTCTTCGATTGTTTAAGGGAAAAAAATAACATTGGATTTTTTTAAATAAAATTTTAAAAAATTTGTATAGAAAAAAATTCGAAAATAATTTGTTCGTATAGAAAAAAAGTCGGTAACCAATTTTTTTCGCATAAAAAAATCGATAACCAATTTTTTTCGCACAAAAAAAAAGATAACCAATTTTTTCGCATAAAAAAAATTCGGTAAACAAAAAAAAAATTGTTTTCTTATAGATAAAATTAAAAAAAAAAAACATTTTTTTTGTCGGTAAAAAACATCTGAAAAATCCGAAATATTTATTTCACCTTGCACAATAAACAATTCTTGTTGTGCTAAACAATTTCTCTCGTCTCTTATCCACTAGCCTAGGTAATTAACAAAAATAATAAAAAAAAAAATCGAACGACTTTAATTAGAACACACACACACATACACTTGGATGGCTTGAGAAAATGAATCATTATTTCAAATCTCTACACATTTGGTTACTAATTTATTATTTCTCATAGGTGTGTTATTTTTTTCTGTTTATAGTTATGACATCAGAGAGAGTAGTATTGATGGTGGTTGGGTGTATTGGTCATTTTTAAAACAAGTTCTGTTATCCGAAATTGTGGAGGAGGGGTTTATCAGGGGATTATTATATCAACAACTCAACAATTGCAATATATATGTATGATTTAATAAATTTAAATATGTTGTTTGATTTAAATAATAAATTGAAATAATGAATATTGTAAAAAAATAGCAATATTCGTTGGAATATGTAAACCACCATTAATCAAATTTGTTTCAATCTGATAGCCTTGTGATTGTCGTCATTTGTTATTGTCCCCTCTCATCATATCATCAAAAAGGACAAATATTGGAGGAGTTTATTTCAATAAAACGCCCGGAATATGACCTTCCATTTTGTAATTAATCGACCTGTCAGCCTGCCATTACAAAATAGAGTAGTCAATGTATAAAGCCACACACACACATGCATTCCATTGCCATTATTTATTTTTTGAATTTGAAAACGAAATCTAATAGTTTCAAAACCCAATAGTAGCCTTACACACAATTACCTAAAATTGGTGCATAACTTGTCCAATTAGTAGTCCAACCAATGACAGTTAAGGTAATTTGGCCTTAGCGGATTGCGTTTCCAGCCATCTATCTCACAGATAGCAGCAGGCAATGACATGCCAATCAACGTTGTCCTGCATTTGTTTAAAACGACTCCCAACCTCTATCTCTCATCTTGTGTTTTTTTATTTTATTTTATACATTTAATGTGGGTGGATGTCTGGTAAAAGTTGGCTGGCTACATTGTGGGTGGTCGGTCCGTGGTCTACTTTCCTTCCACATTTCTTTTTATTTTGTTATCTTCTGGCAATAAACAAATAGTTTCGTGTGTCACAATTAAATATTTAACGTTTTTTTTTTCCTTTTTAAACATTTATAAGTTGGAAATTATAGGCGGGCAGGCAAAGTACTGAATCTATAATTTGGCTATATTAATCTGGCTTTTAGGTCACATGGGTGTGACCCTGTCACAGACAACTGTGGCATGACATTTACAACTTAGCAATTTTGTTTTTATTGTAATAAACATCAAGGGATAGTAATCGAAAACAATTTTTTTCGTATAGAAAAAAAAATCGAAAACAATTTATTTCTTATAGAAAAAAATTTGAAAACAATTTATTTCGTATAGAAAAAATTTGAAAACAATTTATTTCGTATAGGAAAAAAATCGAAAACAAAAAAATGTATTCCGAAAAAACAAATTTTAATGACCATCTGCTCCTACTTAGAAATATTATGTTGCCAAGGGGCAGTAATATTGCTTATCAGAAAGAAAAAAAATTGGAAAAAAAATTTGGAAAACAACAAAACTGATAATAGTAACGCACAGGCCCCCACCATATATGTTCCCATTATTACATTTATTTTTACACTTGTTTTATAGAAGTAAAAGGTGAAACAATATTTTTTGCTGATAATAAAAATAAAGGAAACCACGATAAGAATTTGCTTTTCTCTTATCTCATAACAAAAAAAGAAAATAATAAAAGGAATTATTAGAAGGGATGTGGGGTAGATTAAAAAAAAAATAGCTATTCTCACATTACATAGATTATTGTTTTAGTAGATTATTTAGAAAGTGTATCATAAAAAAAGTCGCCACTGGTTTTGTGACCGATATTTGGAGTTGTGTGGTGGACATTGATTGGGATGATTGATTTTGATATTAAAAAAATAAATAATTTCCAACGACTGTCACATTTCAGTCCATTGAGTAAGAACACAGTACAATAACAACGACTGTCTCTATGTATGAGAGAAAATTAAACCATCTCACAATAGAAGGATATTTAACTCCTTATTATGGGCGATAGGCGATTTGACGATATAAGTACCTCCAATGTTCCGTAGGTTTAATTATTTTCAAAACCAATGAAAAAGCTTCGAATTTTTTTTTTTAATTCTCATCATAAGTAGTAGTGCGGCATAAGATGAATATATGAGCTGGACTGGGAGGTCTTGGAATTCTGATCACGACGAAGTTATATGTTATGTAGGGAGATTGATCACGACGAAGTTATATGTTATGTAAGAGATATTCAGATTGAGAGACTCAATTACATGCCATGTTTTTTCGCATTCTCTATGCGGAGATTTTAAAATTCAAAAAATAATTCATTAATGGCTCCTAAGATTTCTTATGGTGAAAATTTTATAGAGACTTGCGGTGACTTAAGCCTACAATGCAAATATATTTAAAAATGTACTGAAATCTCCTTATTATAAAATTAATACTTTCCTATTTAATATTCTACACGTTTATATATTGTTGATTTTATATATTGTTGATACTCCACCACTAGTTGTTGTTTCCCTTTTCTTATTCTACATCTCTTCTTTCTATACCATTCCTTTCTATAATTCATCTTTAGAGCTTAAATTCTACAGTACTGACCTTGAATCCAAAAAATTTCAATTTTCGTCAAACGACGCTTAAGGCTTCACTGAATATTTTCAAAAAAACAAGTTTTGATATGGTATCCTTAATACTTCATATTTAAACCTATGAAAAAAATATTTCATTATTATTCAATATTTCTGGTTCAACACTATTCAGACAAAAAATACTCCACTAGTTCTTCCTATTCTACATCTGTTCTTTCTATACCATTCCTTTCTATAATTCATCTTTAGGGCTTACATTCTACAGTGCTGATCTTGAATCCAAAGAAAATTTAAATAATGATCCAGGACATAAAATTTTTTGGAGACTGTCTTGAAATAATATTCTCAAATTTATAACTCCTTCGGTTGCCTCATCAATATCATAATCGGTAAAAATAATTTCATTAATTTTTTTTTTCAATATTTCTTCTTCAATTCTAATCACACAATATTTACTACATTAGTTAGTGTATTCCCTCTTTGCCTACATTGCTTCTTTACATAACATGACCTTCAATAATTCATCTTTAGGTAGACAACACCTTAAAGCTGAGTTTCTATAATTTTCGATACAGTGCTGCTGACTTTCTTCGGGAAATTTTATCCCCAAATTATCTATTTATCATGCTGATGATCTACCAAATACAGTAGATATCGGATATAAGAAACTCAAAAAAAAAAGCCGGAGATTTCATTCTTTCTGCGTTTTTTCTTATATGGAATCTTGAAATGTATATTCTCAAATTTACAACTTTTCATTTGTGTCCTCTCTTTCAATTATTCTAACCTGTAAAAATAATTTCATTAATAATTTTATTAAATATTCCATTAATATGTTTTCTTCCTCACAATAATACTTCTCTATTTGGTATTCCCCTTGTTTCATTTGCATATGTTCTCCCTATACACATTTGCCAATATAAATTCATATAGACAGTCAACTGATCTCAAATTCTATTAATGAATTCCAAATTTATTACATTTCCTCTATACCTGTAAAATGGTGGTAATTTCATTATTGATTTTTTTTTAATTTCTTTAAACTTTTTTGTACCTAAAATAATACTTCCCTAATTGTTATTGCCGTCTTATACATATCTTCTCTCTTTCTATGCCTTTCTTTATTTTGTGGATTTGGATTTTGCTAGTTTTACATTACAATTTTTTTACTTCTCATTCTAACCTAACCTGCAAAAATATTACTATTATATATTTTTTTATAAAGTTCCATTTAAATTGTATGCTTTTATTACAATTCTTGCAATAATACTTCCCCTTAGTTTGGTATTTCCTTCCTTAATATCTCCTTTTTCCTTTTCTTATCTTCTTTACATTCCATATCGTCACTTATCCCCTTTTACCCTTTTACATTGATTGTGACACTAGTGTACAGTGGTGTTGTATATTGTCTGCCTGTGATTTCATGCATGCTGGCTGTCAAAAGCCTGTGACACTAGTGTACAATGTTGTTGTTGTATATTGTCTGCCTGCTTGCTTTCATGCATGCTGGCTGGATGGCTGTCAAAAGCCTGGGCATGAGAATAACAACCATTGTGAATGATCATTCTTACTCAGAGAGCCATGATTAGTTACAATGGGGATATATATGACAATAAGAATTGCAAAGTACTAAATAACAATCAATTTTAAAGTATTTAATAAATAATATATGGAAGGAAAAAATAGTTTCCAGTTAATTTTTTTGCAATAGATTTTCTTTATGCATTGTGTGGTGGTGGTGTTAGTGTGCTATTACAACTCATGCGCTTAAACTCAAGGTCATTGCTGGTCATTTGCTTTGGCATGTGTGTGCAAAAAAAATCAGGCAAAGGGGGAAAAACATGTTTTTCTTTGCCCAAACAAAATAAAACCACTATTAATTGTTGTTGTTATTGTTTTTAAAACAAATGCTAATTCTTTTTTTTATAAATTAAAGTTTATCACATTTTTTATAAACCAAAGAATAAAATGGAATATTCCAAAACGCCGTCGTCGTTGTTGCTGTTGTATTAAAAAACAGCGCTGTGGCTGAGAACGCCGCTGAAACAAACACATTCACACACACATATATGGACGATGAAATAGGTGTGCAAACAATAAACACACGAGGTGGCGGGAAACAAGAGGGGAAAAAATTCCAGAAGAAATTGCCTGCCAGCTTGATTAAAATAAGCAGCAAGTTTGATTTTGCTATTCTTGAAATAAAAGCTATTATACAAAAAAAAGAAAAAGCAAGCAGCAACAAGAAACTCTTTACACACCAACACCAATAAGAGAAAAATAACCTCCCAAACATGAAATGACAAGCGCTACTAAATCGAAAGAGAGGGAGAGATAACATGACATCAACAAAAATTCCCGCCGCCGGCCGGCAAGCCATCAAATGATTGATATCTGCTGTGCAATATTTTTTTTAATAGACAAAATTTTATTTTTGGGCATGTGTCCCTCGCCCTCCTGCTCATACTCCCATGGCTACTAGATTTACAATAAATCATCAAGGTTCCTACTGCTGCTAATAAGAAAAAAAAAAATAACAACAACAAGCCACCAAGTAAAGAGATAATTGTCCGTCCACAATCCCATTGTCGTGAAATTCTCACGTTTTCTATTACAATGAGACGTCGTTGGATATGTCATCGGTTCGTTCACGCCAAACCAACAAACCGAACGACCAACACATGCGCATCCTTTTGGGTTAATCATGTTTTTTTTTCGTTCTTACTTCTCTACTTCCAACACAGCCACAGAACACAAGTCAGCTTTTTCTTCTTCTACATACACGTTGTTCACACTTTATGACAAACACACTCTGCACACCAACAACGAAGGCGGCGTGTCGTTTTTTGCAATTTTTTTTTTCACCAAACTGCAAGTAACTGAACAAATTCTTCATTGCAAAAAAAAGTAGCACTATGACGCCTCATTCTAACCTCACTTCTTCCTGAGTGGTATTTTTTTATTCTTTACTGCAAAGCAAATACTTGAAATTCCTTTTTTACTCTGGTATTCCTATTAACAAACACACATACATGCAAACACACATTTTTATCCTTCTTTAATATCACAATATTTTCTACTTTTTTTCATAACTTCTATTGCATTAAAAAAGCCCCAACATAATTGAAATGCATAAATAATTTAAAAGAAATTATTATCTTTGCTTCTCTCTTACCTCCATAACAATGCGGCCCAATGGCTGACCATCAGCGGTCATATCAAAGAAGACACGAGGTAAACCCATTTTTCCTTTACTAGCGAAATTGCGTACACTGAGAAATCCAAATTGCAACTGAGCCGATTTGATTCCAGTTGTCATGAACGAAGCTGTGATTGGCCGCGACGCGCCAGCACCAGCTGTCATCTTGACGCATCGTGCCAGTGTTGCCCCTAGGAATGACATTTTCTTTTTCTCTTGTTTTGTGCTTAATTTACCTGATTATAAATGCCAACAGCAAGTTAAATTGCAATTAAATCGCCTGGTTTTCAACTTTTCTCTTTTATGCAACTTCACGTGCAATTGCCGGCAGCGCGTTAGAATAGCGGTTGTTTTTTTGTTTTTGTTAAAATTGCGTAAGAATTTTTTTTGGCAAAGTGTTGCCCCACTAAATTGCCGGCGTTTGGCAAACAAATTTCCCCTTCACACAATTGACAAACGTCAAAAATCTCCTGAGTGGGGATAGATTACAATGACAGTGTTTAACGTTGAGCGTTTGGCGTAAAACGTTGCGTGGGGAAATGAAGTATTCATTGAAGAAGTTGGAATAAATATAAGAAATATATAAAATTATGATTGTTATTTTATTGTTTTATCAAATTAAATAAATAAACACACAATAATAATATGGTTTTTGTACAAAAAGCATTACTAAAAATAAAAGTGGGCAAAGTGTTGCCCCACTAAATTGCCGGCGTTTGGCAAAAAAATTTCCCCCTCACAATTGGCAAATGTCAAAAATCTCCTGAGAATATGATGAGATTAATTACAATGATAGTGTTCAACGTTAAGCGTTTGGCGTAAAACGTTGCATAGGAAAGTGAAATCATTGAAGGAGTTGGAAAAATTATAGGAAATATATATAATTATTGTTGTTTTATTGTAAATTAAATTCAATCATTCGATGAGAAGACGTGTCGGAAGGCAATTCTCTATTGCCAACTATACGTATATACGGCGAGAAGCAAATCAGCTGGATCGAGAATTACATATAGTTCGTGAGGAAGTTTTAAGAAGCTTTTGAGGAACTTCCGAACGATCGAATTCCTAACGGGCTAAGCAGAATGCTCGCGTTGATCCATCCGTCGCGTTATATATTATCGAAAATACAACAACCACAAGGAAACGATAACACAAACGTATATTGTTTCCTTGTGGTTGTTGTATTTTCGATAACATAACGACGGATGGCTCAACGCCAGCATTCTGCTTAGCCCTTTAACTCGCGTACAATGACTACTTCAGACGGGACCTCTTCTAAGGCTACGGCAAATGGATAACACTGTGTAGTATTAAAAAGGGAGGCAAAGACGAGATCACAGACAGGGATTGTGCCTGCAGCAGCATCGGTGACTAAGTGAAAACTCTTTCGACCAAGATTCAATGCCTGCACAATAAAACAGCCATGGCACAATAAATAGGTAGTCCATTTGGCACAGCTGATGTCTCGATTAAAGGGCTAAACAGAATGTTCGCGTTGAGCGTTTTTTGTTATCGCGTTAACGCACGCAAGAAGTTAAAATATATTTAACTCCGAAGCGCAGCGCACATCAACTTCGAGCGTTTGTGTTATCGTTTCCTTGGGTTTGTTGTATTTTCGATAACACATAACGCAACGGATGGCTCAACGCGAGCATTCTGCTTAGCCCTTAACTGTCAAAGGAACTCGATGTGCACGGTTGCCAACCATATGAATTATTATACGGAAAAATTTGTCCCTCTATATTCGTTTTTTTTTTTTTTTGTTTGCCAATTTTGAATTGGGCCAAATTCGCTGTAATTTGGTATTTTGTATTCTTATGGGGTGTATAATCGCGCTACCCCAAATTATTAATATTGACCCACATTTCAGGGTAGCGCCCATAAAAGAGTACCCCCAATATTTGGTATTTTTGCGATTTTGAACACGTTTTTAAACACAAGTGGCTGTAATTTAGTATTTTGTGTTCTCATTGTATGTTACGTTCTAAACCTAATGCGGCGTTATGGCGGGGTTCGCACTAGCTCAGTTGGGAACACTTTTCGATCAGGGGAGTTCTCAACCCTTGCCACCATCAACCCTAGGGAACGAACAACTAGAAATTTTTGGATCATACAAAACACAAAAACATAAACAAACACAACATACACCTATGACGAGGGAGCTTGGTTTAGTGCTCCTCCACTATGCCCGCCCATCCTTGACCCTTTAGTCCAATTGACGAAATTTTATATTTAAAAGGGCCCCAAATTCCACACACACTTACCTCACGAAACTTACACCTAATTCCCTCTCTCACAAAGAAAACTTAACACAACATAATTTCTAATAACATAAAATCAAACATAAAAATCATTTATTGACATTTTGAACTTAATCTAAAACATAAAGGTCGAAAAACATGTCAATTTACGAACTCCTAACTCCTTTTCTCTCAGTGTGAATCAATTCGTCGATTACCAGCACTTTGACATAGGGCATTTTACACTGCCAACTTAGGCCACTTTGGACAACTACACCTACCTAAGAGAGCTCTGTTAGTGGTGACGTAGGCGGTTAAATTTCATCCGCAAAATTATTCAAATACTTGCTCCACGTAGAAATGTGGTAATCTAGCTCACCAGTTAATAAAAGAAGTTAAAAATCCTCACAAAAATATAATAATCATTAAAAATTCCTTAATACTAAACTAACTACTAACATTCACAACTTATACTAACATATATTCTTGTTTTAATTATATTTTTTTGTCTTTTTTATAGCTTTTGTGTCTTATTTTTTTGTAAAATTTATATTAACGTTTTTTCATCTTTTTTATCATTTCAGGTTTTCTCATTTGCATAGGGAAACTGGTAATTTTATCATTCCAGCATTATCATCACTCGGTATGTATTATATTAATATTTTTTTACCTGGTTTCCAACGATCAAATATATTCTTTTCTGATTTCTTTATTTTAGGGGTTCATTACCAGCGACAGAGCAAATCACCAAGTATCACCAGGATTTTCATCTTCCCTTCCATACGGAATTCAATTGGGATTTTTGGCAATGTATAAAGGCTGTTTTATGGCCGTTTTCGAGGCTTTTTCCAGCTGTCTTCACAACGTCTTCAAAAATCTTCTTCAGAATATTCTTCAAAATTGTATCTGACCTCCTCCACGCAGATATTTGGGAGGGGTCAGTTTCTTCGGCGGTGTGCAGATTTTTATTGGCGTTTAACTTTAATGAAACACAAAAAAAAACAGGACATTGAAGCGACAAAAAACAAACACATTAAACAACATGCTTACATTTTTGCATACGCACAACATATGTTTGTACACATAACACCACAATAAACTTTGAAGAAAAAATATATATATTCTTTTTATTTCCAATTAGATTTTTTTTGTTGATTTTTGATGTTATTTTTTGGGAAAAAAAATCCAATTGGATTTAAGGTTGACACAAAAAAAAACTATGGCGATTTTCTCTCATTTGCTCCTTTTATACGGCCGAAACCCAAGCATGATTTTCCCTCCTTTTCATTTTTCGCACAATTTTCCGACATTTATTTATGTCTGTTTTATGCTACATCCAAACCTATTACGCTCACGCAGTGTTGCATTTCATGCACGTTACGTGACCGCATCCACTAACTACAATTCATGATTCATTTCATTATTCCATCTTAGCAACACTGTTTACATGCAGCCAACTTCATAGCCTACCACATCCGGCTTATTTCTCCTAGACCGGCAGCCACGAAACACATCGATAAGAATTGCTGCCGGTTTTTTTATAAAAAATAATGCAGCCACATGCAACAAAACTTCGCCATATCCATTGATTTCCATGGATATGGTGATGTGCATGACTTCTGCAATAAAGTGACTACCCAATAAAAGACTACCTGTAAGATGGTCATAAAAGTGGATGGCTGACCAACCAGCCCTCAAGTTCCTGGTGGCCACGAGGTTCAATGGGAGTGCTAAGTGGAGGCATTGCAGCGCAATACAGGTAAGCATACACATCATAATTACCCTAAAAACAGCAAGAATATTAATTTTTTTATATTTTTGTTTCAGGTAAAACGCAAAATAAATGAATGGAAAATTTTCATTATGGGATATGTGTTTGCATGTATGCAAAAAGTAGCGGTGGACGCGTATATACGTAAGTGTGTGTGTAGTGTACGCCAAAAATTTAGCGTCGGTCGCATACATATGTATGACTTTGTGTGTGCTAACACACACATACCTGCCATTCACACCCTTCATCTTTCATTGAGATGCATATGCTGTGTATTCATTCTTGCAGTCAGCATCATTGTACGTTGCCGTATTCCAATAAGAAAAATTGGGACAATCCATAGGCTTGTGCGTAGATGATGCCCAGATAAATAACAGAAAAAAGAGGTAACAGATTTATTTTTTTCTTATTGGATACTTGATAATTAACATTTTTTGTTTCTTTTTACAGAATTGTGGCTGGTGAAATTGGTGTTGATTGGTGTACCCATGTGTGTAATTGCTACAGCCATATAACAACAAGGTTATTTATTGAGGATGGGTGTTGGAAAATACCCTTTTATGATGCCCATGCAATTATAAATATTCCTGGCACTTTTGAAATTAAGAGTATTAGGTGAGTGGTTTCTCATTGCTGATTGTTTTCGGCTGTGGAAGATGGTGTTTTTTTTGTGGGTTAATGAATATGTGAATCTTAATATGGAAGAAGTGATTTTAATTCTTTGTGATTATGTGGCTGACCCGCGGCATAATTTTACTGATAAATGCAGTAGAAATAAACATTGTTTAAGATGGAAAATAATTGGATATGCGTACATACACGAGAGTTGTGAATTAGATTTTTCCTTTTAATGAATATACCTGAAAGGAAACCCAATAAACCAAACCCAATGCATATTTATTGGAAATCTTTGTATACGAGTGGTGGATGATTTTATATTTGAGAATGATTGCTTTTGTAAATGGAAATGTTTGTTGGGGAGTATGTGTGACCTGTTTATATTGACTGCATTGATATTTATATATAGAGAGAACATATTCTTTAAACTTCATATTTCATTATTATTCAAAAGACTGCTAATATAACCTTTTTTTCCAATTTATAATAGTTT